TCACTGGCCCTCATATGTGGGATCCGAACCAGGGCCCTCTGGCGTCCCAAGCCAGTTCTTAACCATCGCGCCACTCGGCCGGCCCTGTTCTTTCTTTCTTATTGTAGATCAACTAAGGTCATGCTCTCCCCAGGACCAACAAAACCCCCAAAACAAAGGACCATAGCTAAATTCAAGACAGTGCAAATAAGAGGGAACATTCACTGACCTCCCATGCATCAATTCCTTTATCACAGCAATAATATGAGTTGGTATTTTTAAATTAAATTTCTTGGGGTAACATTGCTTAGTGACATATAAGTTCCAAGTGTACAATTCTATAATATATTGCATTGTGTGCTCACCACCCCAAGTCTAGTCTCCTTTTGTCACCATAAATTTGACCCCCTTTACCTTCTTTCTTATCTTCTTCTCATCCCCTTCCCCTCTGCAACCACCCTTCTGTTGTCTGTGTCTATGAGTTTGTTTTGTTTGTTGCTTTCTGTTTTATATCTCACATATGAGTGAAGTCATATGGTTCTTATCCTTTTCTGTCTGACTTAATTTGCTTAGCATGATACTCTCAAGATCCATCCATGTTGTCACAAATGGCAATATTTCAGCCTTTCTTTTGGCTGAGTAGTATGCTATTGTATATATGAGGTCAGACAACTAAGTTCGTGAACTCATCCTAGAAAAAGTGCTACATACCTCATTGCTGAATATCACTACAGTCACTTTCGAAGTACTCCCCTTGGGAAGCTATGCACTGACGCCTGCACCTAGTCCACCCTTCAGAGCAATTTTGGAACTCTTTCTGGAATGGCCATCAGAGCTGTCATCATAATACTCTCGATGTCCTGAATGTCATCAAAATGCCTTCCTTTCAATATTTGCTTTATCTTCAGGTAAAATAAGAAGTCATTGGGGACCAGATCAGGTGAGTAGGGAGGGTGTTCCAATACAGCTGTTTGTTTCCTGGCTAAAAATTCCCTCACAGACAGTGCCGTGTGAGCTGGTGCATTGTTGTGATGCAAGAGCCATGAATTGGCGAAAAGTTCAGGTCGTCTAACTTTTTCATGCAGCCTTTTCAGCACTTCCAAATAGTAAACTTGGTTAACTGTTTGTCCAGTTGGTGTAAATTCATATTGAGTAATCCCTCTGATATCGAAAAAGGTTAGCAACAGCATTGCAATAAGTTCGCGAACTTAATTGTCAGACATTGGGTATGTACCACATCTTCTTTATCCAACCATCCATCGAAGGACACTTAGGATGTTTCCATGTCTTAGTTACCATGTATAATGCTGCAGTGAACATAGGGGTACACATATCCTTACAAATGTTTTCAAATTTTTCAGGTAGATACCCAGAAAATAGATTGCTGGGTCATATGGTAACTCTATTCTTAATTTTATTTTCTTTTGAGGAAGCTCCATTCTGTTTTCCAAAGTGGCTGTGCCAGCTTACATTCCCACCAGTAGTGTATGAGGGTTCCTTTTTCTCACGTCATCTCCAACAGTTGTTACTTCTTATCTTATTGACAGTAGCCATTCTAACAAGTGTGATATCTCACTGTGGTTTTGATTTGCTATGGTTATTATTACATTTTACAAATAAGGAAACTGAGGCCCAGAGAGATTTGTTAAGGCTATGTAGCTAATGAGGACCAAATCCAGAAGTCTGACTCTCAAAGCCTTTGTTTTTAATCCCTTGATACAAAGCCCGAAGAAGGCATGTGAACCTTGTGGAAAGGTCCACTGAGGTGGTTTGGACTCACACTGTGGTGGGGCTCCCCTTGTGATTGAGTTTGATGTGTTTGCTATTGCTAAGAATTTCTTGTTGAATTTTTAACATTTAGGACACAAAACAAATAATCCTACCATTTTTAATCTTCTCCTTCAAGGCTGAAATGAAATGGATAATTGAGTAAAAGATAAGGGCTATTGGGTGGTAAGACCTACTCCTGCCTCTGCTGGCTCTGGGAGCAACAGTGATTGGGCCATCCCAGTCCAGCGTTCATACTGACATCCATGGCGATGAGATGCTTGAACTATGCCAGATGCATTTTATGTGACATAAGGAAAAAGTAAGGGCAGCATAATATTGGTGTAACCTGAAAGGGAAAAGTGAGCAAAAAAAACGTCGTTCCTCGTGGTTATGAATAAAAGATGGGTGATTGAGATGATTAACTGCCTAAATGTCCTGGGATGGCGTCCGATTACAACCTCGTGCTGTTATGCTAAAGCCCCAGTCGTGCCCTTGGCCACCAGATAGCCTTCTGGCCCGCCCTCTGCTGTGCCCAGCTCAGCTTCTGTTACACGGACTTGAGAAATGCAGACTCATGCTTCAATGGCCTTGGTGACCCTGCTCATTGGATTTCATTAGGTCAGATCTCCAGTCACACTTCAGGAGCCCATGTAGTTAGGGAGGACACCAAAGCAGCAACCAGCACAGCTGTTCACTAAGACTGCCTCCCTGGCCGTGCTTGGGGAACCTGAGGGGGAGCTGGCTCACTCTCGCACTCTCTAAAGAACAGGCCTCTATCCTTCACTTGGGATCTTGACTTTTTGTTCAGGATTGGTTTTCTTTAGCTCCTCCTAAACAACCTTGCAAGAATCACCAAATCTTCCTGGAAAAAAATGTTTGTATTATTATTACTTTGAAACTTCAGGAATCCTAAGGCAAACAACTTTTTCACGATGCACCAATGGGGTGGATATGTACACTCAACTGGGGCAAGACGATGAAGACCTTGGGTCACAAACTAGAGAAAAACAGACCAGTTTGCCAAAAGCAACCTGCAGAGAGGCCAGTGCTCTTGTTAATGCTCTGATTCACCAGCTGACATTGGGCAGGTCTGCCAACGAGACACCCCTGCACCTTCCTGCCTCGTGAGACTATGGTGTGGACATATGAGATTTATCTACTTACCCAGCTAAATTTATTGAGCATGTACCATGAATGAAGTTGTTGCATTAAGTCCTATATAACATAATTTGAAAGGGGGGAGAAGGCGTGTATATAAATAGCTAAATTGGGGTGCACAGTGAGTTTTTGAGCTGGACTTTTGACACTGAGTAGGAATCAGGCAGAGAAAAGACAGAGTATTCCTGGTGAAAGAAGTGACGTGAGCAAATAAAGTGGCAGGAAAGTTTAGGGTGTTTGCGAGGAATAGGAAATACTCGAGTTTGTGCGAAACACACAGGATAGCTAGACAGGTAGCCTTGGGCTGTGCTCTGACAAGTCTTATATGCCAGGTAGAAGGGTTTGGACTCTATCCCAGTGGCAGTGAGCAGCTCGGGATCATCACTGAGAATGGACAGCTTAGCAGCAGTTGTGTCATTAGGTACTGGTGTCGTGTCCAAGCTGGAAAAGTTACATGGGAAGCAACACTGATGAGCGATGTCAAACAAATGCTTTGGGTACGAAACGTGACTTGGGAATTTTCCACACCATTCATCAGAAAATGGGTCTTTGGAAGAACCTTGGTGGTCTGAGATCTGGGGGAGCCATTTTATGAATCTCCTGCGGAAGTGGTGACGGAAGCCCTCCAGCCTTTATGCTACCAGAGCAGTGTGAAGCCCCTGCACGACAAACCTCGTGAACTTTCTTCCAAATGAAACCGTCCGTGCAGGATTCATTGCCAATACACAATGCCCACCTCCTTTCTCTGAGGCACAGTTCTCAATATGACAGCAGAAACTGTGGTTTAAGCGCAAAACAGTTTAAAGCTTACAACACAGAGAATAGAATACAGCAGATCCTCACCTAACGTCATGGATAGAGTCTGCGACCTGAAGCAGAATGACAG